TCTCTCTCTCTCTATATATATATATATATATATATATATATATATATAAGCGATCAAATACAAACCATCCAATTTGTACAAACCGTGCAAACCTCATTCAACCAATCATAATTTTTTATTTTGTTAATTTTTTTTGTAATTATGTGAGGTTGATTAATCATTTTTATTGTGAAGGTGTTAATAAATGAACTCTCATCATTTCTATGAATATCTCAATTTATTGGGTTGCATTGGTTGTACAAATGCATAGTGTTGTATTTGAAACAAACTCTCTTTCTCTCTCTCTCTCTCTCTCTCTCTCTCTTTATATATATATATATATATATATATATAAGCGATCAAATACAAACCATCCAATTTGTACAAACCGTGAAAGGTGAGGTTGATTAATCATTTTTATTGTGAAAGGTGTTAATCATGGATATTATCATCTTTATTGTTTTAATTTTAGAGAAATACATGAAACAATTTTATTAAAATTCCATTAAGTAATATATAAAACAACTTCATCAAAAAAGTATTATATATATGAAACAATTTCACAAGATTAAACAATTTCATAATTTTTTTTCATAAGATTAAACAATAAAATCGATGAATGAGCATGGTTTGCACGGTTTATACAAATTGAGTGGTTTGCATTTAATCGTTCATATATATATATATAGGGTGTTAAAATCAAATACAAGACATATCATAGCATATGTTGACTCGTTCAAATTGATGTCTTTAAAAACAAGATTTGGTATTGTCGAAAATGTAAATTATGGCAAGGATTTGGGAATCCATGGTGGGGAGTGTGGACCTATATAAAGCTGGTGAGTTGGGGCTCCGGATAGCGATCCACTTGTATATTTTGTGAAGTACAATTTACATTAAATGCTATGATATATATATTTCATAAACAATTAAATATCTTGTTATTTGAAATATAAAATTTAAATGAATAGTAAACCATAATTTAAAAATAAAATATTTCTGAAATGTAAATGTATAATTGCATTTGTTACACAAATATATGAAAATGTGACAAAAAAATCATTATGGAATAAATTATTCTTCTTTCTTTTAATCTTTATATAATTGTAAATGTGTTTTTATTAAATTGTTAATTTTTTTTATTTAATGCGTCACATTTATAAATATTATATGCTAAAAAAATAAATGGAACTCTACATCAAAATCACATACAATTACATCAATTTGTATCTACTCCACATGCCAAATAAGAAAGAGATCAATTTTGTATTAAATCAAACCAATATATATATATATATAGAGAGAGAGAGAGAGAGAGAGAGAGAGAGAGAGAAAGAGAGAGAGAGAGATTGTTTCAAATGCAACTCATCGCATTTGTACAACTAATGCAACCTAATAAATTGAAATATTTATAAAAATAATGAGAGTTCATTTATTATGATTTAAATATTTATAAAAGATATATAAAGTTCATTAATTATGATTTATAGCTACCTGGCTTAAATAAAGAGATATCAACTTTATATAATAACTATATATTAATTTAAAATGGTTTTTGTGGACGCAAATATAACAAAATCTATGGACCAAAAAACAACTTCAATATTAATAAAAATATATTAAAAAAAAGAAAAGAAAAGAAATCGAAGATATTACCTCGTAAAACTCTGTGCGGTTGCTTGGATTTCAGATTTTTGAAATTTGAAAGATCATATACACACATATGTATAGGGTTAAGTTTCGATCTACACCTTTGGATCAATCCTTTATTGAATGCCAAAACTAATGAGGTGCTTCGAGATAGTTCGGATCAATTCTCTTCCAAAACATAATTCATGAACGGGTATGAAATGAAAGTGATCAACGGTTCAAATTTCTTCTTGCAGTTCTTTTTTTCTTACTATCCTTTGCGCGCGCACACACACACATACATCTGGATTGATACCATTAAGCCAAAAATCTCTAGACTCTTTGTAATGTTATGATTGAAGTCGTGTAAACTAAAAGCACAAGTATAAGAGTGGGATGTTGTACTTGACTGTACTACACCACCAATCGGCTGGTACAAATTTCTTTTGTACTTTATTTATTTATTTATTATTAATAGTATAATATAAATAAAATTATATGTTTTTTGTTACAAAAATTAACATCCTAATTGCGATTTCATCTTGAAAGTGATATATTCATTCATGTTATTATGGAAATCTGAGTTTCAATACACAATTATACATATAAAAACTAAGCTTAACTTTTTTATTACCTCATGGTGAATGCAGGATGTTTGTTTAGTATGACACATTTAAGGTAGATTAAATGTCTGTAAAATCGTCCAATATGTTTTTAGTACAATTATGCTATTTCGAGGGATTTTTAAATTTGATTTGGTTGATTTCAAGTGACTTTTTTGGATTTTGATTAATTTCGAGGTATTTTTTTGATTCGTCGGAGCAAAGTGAGAAATTACTGGGAGGACTATCGTAAAAAAGTTAAAAAAAAAACTATTTTTTACCTATATAAAAGGGGGGGGGGGGTGGATATTCTTTAATGGGGGGCCAGCCCCCAACTTTATAATACTACATACGCCCCTGGTGGTATCGTTGGATAGTTGTATAAGTGCTTACCGGATAAATTTTCTTATTGGATGAACATGAGAAGGACTAAGAATCTTTTGGATAAGAGCAATGAAAAGAATAGAGAGTTTTGTCCGGTAAGTAAGGATGACGACTCTTACCCAGGTAAGTATTTACCCAGTAATTTGTTGTATTTGATATGCTTTTTATGTACTAAAATCTTACGTATCAAAATAAATTTGTTACAGTTTTCAGACATACTCGATGTGTATTACCAAGGGGTTGGGTTATATGTAAATTATATGATATATGTGTTGATCTCAAATCTCTCAATAACACTAATAATCTAGTTAATAATAATCAAATTATAATGATTTGATGAATAAAGTGATGAACACTTAAGAAGAAAGTAAGAACAACTAAGAACAATCTTGAGCTTCAAAGATTTCACTTTATAAATAATTAAAACGAAAAGCTACTTTTTACAATAGGCTTAACCACATATTTATACTAATAAGCTAATAAGAAGATAATTATCTAGTGAGACATTTTAGCTAATCTTCTATTAACAGATAACGTTTATCTAAACTATAGATAAACTTTAATATCAAAGATAAACTCGAAGTCTAGCTGTTGACTTGTCATCTCCAGCTGTCATTCATGGTGTGATGGATCATCCTTATCTTTAAGTCTTCATTGCATGCTTCAGGATGAATTGCTGGATAATTCTCTAAGTGTAGATGACCAGAGGGTCGATGGAGATGCACTTTCCATCACATCCTTGGTCGTCCATCGGTTCTCTGGTTGTGCTCCAGACTTAACCGTTTCTGCTTTGATGTTCATCGGTCTTCTGGTTTTTCATCACTTATTGTTTTTTTATTACTTTTTACATTATGAATTATGGGGTTTAACAATATGCTATGTAGAAAGCTGTCAAGCTGAGTTGGTACATACATCACAACATTTTTCAAAACGTGATTTATGACAACAAAATTATATTACACACACACACAAACTATATTATAAAGCATGTTAAAGGATTATTGTTGAATTTTTAAGAGATACAAATCTTGATGAATCATGTACAATTTTTTAAGGTTTATGACCTTCGACGTTCAACATGATAATTAAAAATAAAATTATTTTTATTTTTAAATTCCACTTTATACCCTTATAATTAGTTATTTAATTTACTTTATATCTCTTCATTTTTCATTTTTCACCATTCTCATATTAACATAAATGATCGTATATATATTAACTAAATTATATTAAAAAATGTTTCCTTTTATATAAATTATAACATCATAATCATCTTTTCATTACCTTCAAAATGAGTCAAATATCGAATATTTTTAGATTTAATAATATTATTAAATATGATAAATACGTATTGAGTTAATTTTAAAACTTGTTTTTAATATATTAATTTTTCACTTTTGATCTTCCATCTACACCCCTTATGTACAAGGTTCTAATCCCCCACCTCTTCATCACTTCCTTTTGAGCGAAACGAGCCGAGCCGAATCGAGTAGTATTAATCAAGCCGGGCTTAAAAAATGAATACCAGATTCGAATTCGCCCTGAGCTCGATTAATGTTTCAATGTAGGGCTCGAGCTCGAGCTTGAATATTTTTTGAGTTATCAAGCTCGATGCTCGCTTATGGGTTTGAACTCGCGATTGATTAACTTGTTTATCGGCTTGAGCTCGCCAATTTTATATTTTATTGTATGATAATAATATATGAGCATGTTTGTCTCGAAAAAGGGTATGCTCGAATAGCTCGGCTCGGCTCGGCTGGACTCGAAAAATTGAACCGAGTTTTCAAACGAGCCGAGTTGAACATTGGTATTACAAAGCTCAACTCGTTAAGTTAAAGAAGTGCTATTTTGTGTTCGAGATCTACTCAAGCTCGAAATAAATGAGCTCGAGTAGCTCGTTACAAACTCAAAATAGAAAATTATGGGTGAGACTCAAATCATTAGCAATTGACAAATGGAGAAACAATTGTGGGCTCTCCCAATGAATCTCTCTGCTCCCAAATTTGGGCTGAAATGAATGAATGGGCCCTTCAAAATAACCCATTAGTTGGGGTAGAGCTAATGGGTTTAAGCAGTTATGCTATTTTGGTTATGACTTCTTTAGTTTGATGATTTTGATCCCAATCTTCATCGCAGAATATGATTACGTTTCCATCCTCGTTCCCGACGGGGAACCCAGGATTTTTTTCCCGTTAATATAAGACAATTTAAATTAAATATGTTAAACATCATACTCGATTGATAATGGTTCATATTTAAATCTCACATATTTTCAAGACTTGTTTTTATAGAGTATTAAACATTCATATATGAACAAAACCACAACATCGTATGTAATTGTTTGATCAGATTTTGTGGGTTTCCACATTTTTTTTGGGTTTTCGGACAGGATATGTTTCCCCACATAAAACAAAATAACAGTGAAAGTAGCAGAAGACAACAAAGGAATTCGGGAGACAAAAGGTACAATAAGTCTTACCCTTTTCATGATATTGAAAGTTCAGGAATTTTCTTATTAGAGCACGTGGTCTAATCCTCGTTTTGTTTTATAATAATGGTCTATTTATTCACGTATGTACAATCGTTAATTACATATATTTATTTGAGTTCATTCTAATTTATTTCTATCAATCGCAAGTGTTGTAAGATGTTGGAGCCATGCATGATTGATGGTTTAAACAATGGGAACCAGCTCGATCTTGATCTCGGAAACGGTGACATCCTCGCACCCTGTCCTCGGCACCAAACTCACGACCACGTACTCATCATCTTCAGCTTTCAAGTCCTCCAACAGCTCCGTGATCCCGAACCTCGCCCCACTCATCATCATCATCTTTTCCGAGCTTCTGTTGTGCGGCAACTGTGCGAAACTACCAGCAAACTCACTGTCGGCCGCTGTGGTTGCTGGTACATTGTCTTTGTCATTGACAAACACATCGAACTTCACAAACTTCTCACCGTCGAATCTGACTCCATTCACCATCAATACCTCGGTTGCCTTCTCCTTGTCCTCTTTGGTCCTGTTTACAGCAGGCCTCTTCACGAGTACCTTCACCGTCTGGTCTAACTTCACCGGAAATTTCACGTCCTTCACCGTTCCGGCTGACTCAGCGGGAATTAGTTTGGAACCCTTAGCATTTGGAGTTGGCCGATTCCCGTGTTTCAGTCCAATACTCGTGTCGACACCGTCACGCATCTCTACGTCTAGACTTGCAGCAGCAGAATCTGAAATATTGGGAACGGCAAAGGCCGACGAGAGGGTGGTCAAACCGATCCCCAGCAGCAAGTTTCTCCGGTCGATATTCTGCATGTCAAATGATGTTTCGGGTTTTATGAGCTTAGGTTTTTCAGAGCTTTCGAGGGTCTTATCGTTGCCATCTTCGCCGGCGTTGCATGGGACTTTGAAGCGACGGCCGGTTTTCTTTGCATGAGGATGGACGCGGTGGGAGTTGGCCTTCTTGGTGGTGGCCGAAGTGGCGTTGAGAACGGTGGACAAGCTAAAAGATGACATGATTGAATTAGAAATTTGGATGGTGAGCTTTTGAGCTCCATTTATATAGCATATAGAGAGATGGGTGGCTACGTACGTGTGACAGTAAACATACACACCACCTCATGCTTAATTTCACATGTTTATCCTTAAAGATTACGACCACTTAATGTAACCGATCGACTTTCTACTTGTAGAAAGTTTCTGCTCTTTTCTTGTCTGCTTCTTGTTTTTCATTTTCTTTTCTTCCGGTGCCACTTTCCAAAAATAGACATGTGTCTCGTTTATAGCCGAAAACGTAGCGATCATTCATCACTTCTACCCACGATTCTTGCCAAGTATAAACGTGGTATTAGCCACGAATTACGAACGTCTTGGCTACAAGATTCTTCTCAAATTGACCTACATGGTGATTACTGTAAAAAACCAGTTCAATATCTTGCTCATGAATCCATTCAAAAAAACCGTTGGACCACTCAAACCGATCGAACCAAGTCAAACTGGACCCTTTTTGGCGGTTTGGTCTGGTTTGAAAAATAACAAAACCGGATGGTCCGCTCCAGGTTACGATCTGGAACCTTTTTTGGGCGGTGTGGACCAAACCGACCGCCAAATACATATTTATTTATTTTAGTATTACCAAGCTCAATTTTTTTAACTTATGGGCTATGACCCAAATATATATCTTAAGTCCAACATAAAGCCTAACATCTAACATAATCAAATTCAAATGAATTGCCGTCTAAAATCTCTAAACCAGTAAACATATCGACACATTTGACATTGACGGTCTCCAAATTTTGAAATCTCTGAAGAACTCTATCAATCTATCGATCTTTCCTAATCCATGGTTTGATTTCGGCGCACATAATCAAAACATCAACCAAGTGATTCAACCAACTAAAATTTGCCTTCTATTTTCTTTGGTCAAGAATTAAAGGTTGTGAAGTCGTGGATTTTGTTACTCAATACTCATAGTGCAGTAGTAAATTTGTTAATTTGTTTGTTTTCTAATATGTTATTTGTCTAGAGTTTGGATTGCTTGGATTTTGGATTCAAGAGCCGCTTAATTATTACATTTATTTGTTTGGATATTTTGTCTTGTTAAAATGGATATTTAATCTAAAATTCTAAATTATATATGATTTTTTAAGTTCAATATTTAAAGTCCATTAAAAACTCAAACCGCCTAAACTGGTCGAACCAGACTGCCTTTTCGTGATCAGGTTTGACCGGTCTGGGCACTTGATGTCAAACCGCTCGATTTAAAAAATTTATAAACCGTCATTACGGTTTAATTTGTGGTCTGAGGGGTTAAACCGTCCAAACCGAACCGCGAACACCCCTAGTCATAGAGTGATTGGTCAAATTACCATTAATCAACATTTCGTCATCTTAATGATAAATGTTTAAACTACATAGTCACTTTATTGATACTCCAACCGACTATATATCTTCACACACACACACACACACATATCTTCACATATATAAAAAATAAGTCAAAATACAGTTTCATGATAGTCTATTATTGTACGATGTCACAATTTGACGATAATACGTCAGTACTCTATAACAAATCGCTAACGGTAGTCATTTCCACGACCATCTCTCGATAGACGGTCTTATACTTTTGTGTTTATATATATAGACTTGTTAAATGTTCACCTAGTGACCTCTCAGTATGATCAACCGATGGAGTCGTCTACTATCGGTACTAGTCTGTTTTAAATAGTGTCCTTGCCCCTCGGCATTACATTACTTGTTGAAGCGGCTAATTAATCGCAAACTTGTGTTCTTAACAACGTTTTCCACTGCTCCAACCCCTTGTTCTTCGGACTCTTCTACTAGCACATTTCTACATTCAATATTGGTTTATCTCATATTCAATTCATTTTCATCAAGAATATGCAATTATTTTTCTAAATATCCATCTACATATATGCATTATATACACATGTAATTCAATTTTGATATACATATCATACATAAACTCAATATATATATATATATATATATATTAGGTTTGAACTCGTGTATTACACGGGTTAATGACAAAAATTAAACGAAAATGATATGTATTTTTATAAAGAATTAATAATCGGAGGTAATATATAAACTTAGACAAAAGTACAAGTCTGATTAAACTTTTGATATAAAGATGCTCTTACTCGAGAATTAAATGTTACATATACAAAAGACGGCATGTGCTTCGATGATCAGAAAAACTTCTAAATGAAGACGAACAATGTAGATCTAATATGCAGCGCTGCGTATTACATGCAGAGCCTTTGTATACCTCTGTATGAGACAAGCATCAGAGGCTCTGGGTAGTACATGCAGAGATAGAACTCTTACTCAAGACAAGTACAGGGCCTTTATGAAGGACGGAGGCAGAGTCAGAATGACCCTGTAGCACCTGTAGAACCTCTGTTAAGCTCTGTATGAAGAACGGAATCAGGCTTCAAGGACACAAGCGTAAAGAAAGTTTCCAGAGATTAAGACGGAAACTATTCAGAGTTACAAGT